TTTTTTTTTTTTTCACAATCCTTCAATTTATATTAAACTTGATAATTTTAACCTAAAATTTCAAATTTAAAGCTTTTGGATGATCAAAACATATATATAGTTCTTGATTAATTAATGAATTTACTAATTAAATTGGATTTTCCTTTTTCTTTTTGTAGCTTGTGCTTCGAGGGGGTTGCTGTTTGGGGTGTTGACATTGACTGGTTTTGCCTGTTTTTACTCGTGCTTTTATCGCTCCAAGATAAGGGCACAATACGACCTACCGGAGCAACCATGTGCAGACTGCCTGGTCCACTTCTGCTGCCTTCCATGTGCTCTCTGTCAAGAGTACAGACAGCTCAGGAATCAGGGATTTGACATGAGCATAGGTACCATGATTTTCAAAACTTCTGAGTTCTTTTATCTTTTGAACACTAAATAATATCATAGCGTGATTTTGCAATCTAGAATGTCGATTGCACTAATTAAAGACCCCTAATTGATGGTTATGAATTTACGTCTGAATCAAAAAATAGTTTTTTTAAATAATATATGAGAAAATTAAGCGTTAATATGTATGGTCAATTTTTAGGAAAACTTTTTTTTAATAGAACGGCATCATTTTGGCATCTCTTCTTCATCATTATTTTAGTAAAAATTGGTATCCCTTTTCTTTTAACAAAATCTAACATCTTGATATTCTTGTTCATTATCTCCTCAATTGCTAAGCATTCTCTCCAACCAATTTTCTTTTATTTTCTTACTTTTCTCGAGTACTTTGAATTTCTCTCTTAAATACAAGTTTGATAGCTCGTTAAAATCCTTAAATCACTTGCTCAATGATTGAACCTTACCCCTCCTTTCTTTTGATCAAAGTCCTTGTTCGGAGGAGTAGATGGAATGAGGGAGAGGAAGAAGAGTGTTGAGAGAAGAAAGGGACAATAATCAGTTGAACAAAATAATTTTTGTATGCTCTGATGATTTTTATTTTTCTTTCATTTTTTTGGACGAAAGCTTAATGATTTTGATGGAATCAATTCCGTTTTTAATTTTTGCGATCCTTCAAATCCCAAAACTTTGGCACTCTTCATGTTCAGTGAAGACAAAAATCACAGATAAATTTGTAAGATGAAGGGATTGAATGATGAAGTTAGGTAGGGAAAGGCTAAGAAAGTAAGGTGGTAGGGAGTTTTAGACCGAAATGATGTGGTTTTATTAATTGGTTCTACCTAAAAATTGATAATACTGACTAATGACTCAGTTTACTCATAAAATATTTTAAGTCTTCAACAAATATTAAACAAATTTTTTGATTGTTAATCTATTAAATATATTCAATTCAATGATTTTTTTTGATATATTTAATTATGAAATAAACAAATAGTTATAGTTCCCTAAATCTTTTCTTAAGATTTGAAAATAAGATAAGACATTAACTTGAGTAGTTTTCATTTGTTAAAACTATATTTACTTGATTAACTTTTGTACACAAATATTAGCATTTTTCATTGATTCAAATATGCAACTGGGGGATAAGTTTCTCACATTTCCTAGCATTTGAATGTGACCTTATATTAAATTATCATTATATTTAATTAACCACTCAGAGGTGCATGCATAGTCCTCTTCCCATTTTTTATACCCCATCGAAGTTTCCAGCGAGTCCACAGCCATAGGAGAAAAGCAGTTTGCCATTAATTTTCTTTTATGCAGTACTGGTTGAATTAAATGCAACCCTTTCACATCGAGACTCTGTAAAGTTTTAAAATATAATTCCACGTAGAATCCCTAGTCGTTAGACATATTAAGTTAATTGATTGATTTGGAAAATAAAAGCACCTTCTCGGTATAAGATAGTGATGTCTTATCATGTCCAGAAGTAGGTATGATGAGTTCGTGGAGTAATTATGAAAAGTTTGTTGAAAGGTTTGAAAATTATAATAAAATATAAGTATTGTGGGGACAAAGGGATTTGTATATTTATGCATTGACAAATTGACTTCCATTTGGCTTTTGAAATTAGGATTTTTTGTTTTATAGTTTATAAGTTAAATTATATTTAATTTTAAAAAAACAATAATTAAATAAAAAAATAATCTTTAATATTAAGAGGCTTATTTTTTATTTAATAACTTAATTAAGACAGACTCATAATACATTTTTGTTAAAATTATCTTATGCTTTGGTTTATGAAAATTAATTAATGAAGGATGGGAAGCTAACATGGAGAGACAAAAGCGAGGACTTACAGTGGCTCCAGTGGTGGTTCCAGCCATGACAAGATGATCACAATGTTATCAGCATAGTTGCCATGCCCCTGCTGCTACAGTACACCCTGTGTTGAGGCTTTTTACTCTTTGTATTTTTTTGTTTCCTGTCCTGTTTGGTGTGTGTTTTACTTGGACCAGAACTGGCAAATGGGTGGATTGGGTTCAGGTTGTTGGGTTGAGGACTTGAGGTTGGTTCATGAGTTGGGTTCCAGTGTCTTAAAAAGCAACCCATTTTTTACTTTTCATTTTATAGATTTGTGGGTTTGACCCAACCTTCATGGGGTCAAATGGGTAAGGTTAAAATGGATTACTATGGGCAATCACCCATGATCCGTTTTAAGCAGGTGTATTAGGGTTGAAATGGCAAGTTGAGTCATTGTGCAACAATGTCTATGCTATTGCTGGGTGTATGAGAAACGAAAAAATAGTACAAAATTGCGAACTTGGAATTTCTCTGCCATGGCATTAAGTATTAACAGTGATTTGCAAAAGGAAGCAACTTCAACTAAATCTATGAAACTGCAAATCTTATTTGATTCAAACAATGAAATATAGGGTTAAAATTATATATAAAATTAAACTATGAACATAGTTAATGTATATTAGATTTTTTTTATACATTTAATGATAGATTATATAAAAAAAGATAATACATTTGATAATAGATTATATAAGAGGATAACATTTCTTTTTTTCTAAATTCCTCCCACCCAACTTAAGATTTGAATATAAGATTTCTAACTTAAAATTTTAAACTCTTAAACAGTTGAGTCACCTTGTTAGGACATGTATATTAGATATATACACAATGAAAAGTTCCTTATGTATTACTAGCTAGCCATACATCTTACAGATAACAGGAAATCTGCTTCTCGAAAACTAAAAATAGAAATACAGGAAATCCCATCAACTGAACTTCATGGTTTGAGTCATCATGGTTATAAATTCATCCATGTCAACCACACCATCCCCATCAGTGTCCACTGCCCTCACCATTCTGCGGCAATCTTCCAGGCTGTGTGTGTCTCCGAGCCTCCTTAACACCTCCATAACCTCTTCTGCGCTTATCTTCCCATCCTGGTTCAGATCAAACATGCGAAAAGCACAATGTATGTCCATTATCCTAACCCCTCCACTCTTCTTGTGCGCTTCCACAAACTCTTTGAAGTTGATAAACCCATCTCCATCCAGATCAACCACCTGGAAAATCTTTGGCACATCACTGATGATGTTTCCCTGCCCCAAAGCTCTCAACATGTCTTTGTAGTCCGTCTGGCAAATCTTTCCATCTTTGTTGGAATCAAACTTATCAAAAACATACCTCAGTTCACTCAAATCTGGCTGGAAAGAAGGCAACAAACCAGAATTCTGTCTGTCTCGGGTGAATAAGCGAGATGGCTTTCGCAATATCCTGCTTTTTTATGGCTTGTACTGGAATTCAAGAAAACTGACATTTTCCATAGTTAACCAGTCTTCTGGAAGGATCAGAACAACACCTAAATTCAAAATGCCTTCAACATTTGAATAGAAGTTAGATACCTTCTGCTATTTATCCCTGTTCACGCAGATAGGAGAACAGATTATTTCCATTTGAAGGTAAGGATAAAGTTGATTTTGGTAAGACAAAAGGCAAGCATTCATTCAACAAAAAGATTCTTAAGTAACAAGATAAGAACAAAGATGTGATTGAGAAGAAAAGAACAAGAATACATTCTTTGCAAAAGTAACAATTATTTCCTTTGCATCTGTCAGCTAGATTCTCTTTAAGCCAAACTCACTTTTGGGAGAGGCTGCCTATAACCTTTAAGCATGTAAAGGCTAATCTACATAAATGGAAAAAGGAATACAACTCATTGCAGATATAGAAAGATATTCCTGACATCATGGAGGTTTTCCATTATCCAAATCCTCCATCACTTCAATGTCCTTCCGAGCTGTTATCTTATGCACATATCCTGCAATAATGGTGATATTCTGTCTAAGACCCACGTCATAACTTAAAAAGAAATATTTAATTAGTCAGCATACAATTCAAAGAAAATTAGAAACAAAGGACATTATCAAAAGTTATTGTAGATATTTAGTCAATAACAATAACCAACTGGAAGGCTAAAAGGAGAAGAAATGGGAAAAGAATAAAGAGCATCTGTAGCTTAGGTATAAAATAATAAAGGCAAAGCAGGAAAAATGTTGTAGAATCTAGAAAGAAAAGAATAATCTTATGGTAAATTATTCTACATATCAGTTAAATCTAACATCTAGATCCTCAAAAATAGAAAAGAAGTAGACAAAAGATTCCTTTCAACTTATTCGAGATGCATCAGCTTAATAATCTAATTACATAAAAAATGTAGAATTATTATGAGGCATCTAGACTCAAGTTGGATATGTTCTAGCTAAAAGCAACACTCAAGAAATCTCTAAATAACAGTAATACTTCCGTACAATAGCACAGAATCCATTTCCTGAACAGAAAACGTTTTACCTCTTCATGAAAGTATTCATGAAAAAGGATTTACCTCTTTGTTAAGGTATCTGTAAAATTCACTAACAGAAAAACCTCCTCGTTAACATATCCATAAAATTCCACTAAGAAGAAACCTAAAGTCAGTTTTACCTATTCATTAGACTGCACTTAAACAAGAATGGTTCCAAAATCATCATGGGTTGAGGGATTTAAAAGCTCTGCAGTGAGGACGAGAGTCACCACAGAGAGAAAAGTAAGGCACCAGGAACCTTTAAAACGTTATTGTTTGCATATTATACTCATCACCTATTCCTAACATGTCCACCTAGGCTGTCTGATATTATAGCATAATTCTGTGAAGCATGTCCTCAAACTGGCGGTAGTGTGTTATCAAACCAGAGGTGGGATGGCTAGGCAACTTGCCCAAAGTTGACTACGGACCCTTAGGCCATGTTTAGCTGGAAGAATGGATACTAGGTAGAAGGTGGGAATAGCTAATTCTACCTTGTTCCTTAATTTAAAATAAAATGAGCAACCTTATTCCCACCTCGTTCTAAAATTGTCAAGTATGCTTCCTTATTTGCCTTAATTTCATGCATTGATTGAGGAATCACCATTACTATACAATAAAAAAATATGCTGATAAAAAAAACATATATATATATATATACACAATGAAATGTAACCTAAGCGTCCATGGTCAACTCTTGGCAAGCATTGCCATTGCCTAGGCCTCCCACAGCCTTATTCCTATATTTATGAGAATCAATTGCACAAGGACATGCCACATCTCCCTGAAAGCTATGAATTTAATGCATCCAAAAAATCTAATCCTCTTTCCCCTACATGAAATTCCAATTTCAGCATCATGACAGGATTGCGCAAACATAGGTTTCAAGCATGAATGATTTACTTTGCACACGATCTTTAAATATATTGCTGAAGCTACTGATTGGGAAATAAGGTAAGTTCTTTCTGATGGTACATATCTTAGGATAGTAGAGCTCAGCAATTAGAATTGTAGTTTGGTTAGGAAAGTATGAAGAAGGAGAGATTAGAAGAACAGAAGAAGTGGGGGCAGGCAGGCTAAAGACTTAAGACAGAAAATCTCAAGTAATGTCCCAAAAATTTTTCAAAAGAAATATGAAGAGTGTAGAATTGAATAAAAAGCAGCTCCTAAATATTAGCAGCAGAGTTGACAAAAAGAACATATGCCATTCTAAATCAAACTCATCTCAAAGCTAGTTTTGGTCAAACCAAAACCAAATATAAAAAAGGATTAGAAAATTGCAAGGTATAGATAAACACTCCACTCAAAAGTTATGAGGTAAATGAATGCTATATAAGACACATAAACATGTATATGCATCCACATGTGATTAAACCTTGCCAAGTAGAGAGCATTACATTCATGAGGTACAATATATCACAAAACAAATATAAAACAGTATATAGGTTGTTAAATGTTTCAGCTTAACAAGTCTTTATCATATCAGTAGAATGGATGACCCACACGCCACATACCATAAGAATCAAGATATTCTCCATGAAATTATGAATTTCACTTAGCAGTTTTCTATTCTTCTTCACTCAAAAATCAGAAACAAGTGTCTCCACATTTTCAACACTTATTTCATGCAAAATAAGATTAAAAAAAAACAAAAAAAGAAACAAAAAAAGACTGTCCAAAAATAACGAGCATAGATTGAACAACAGCAAACCAATTTTCAAGATGAACATGAACGACATCCCTAAACAAAGTTGATAACTGTTCATACATGTTTATATCAAACGTCAAATGGGCATGATAGGGAATTAGTTTGCGTATGTAAAAATACAAAAGTGCTTCTCATTTTGTCAAATATCCGTGCACCCTTTTTATTCTGGTAATTATTACCAAATGATAACTAGATGTTGATTGATTAAGCAAAAAAATATCTAAAAATATTCTTTCTTTTAGTATTTAGTCAATTTCAATTCTATGTTAAACTAGTGTAAGGAGATTTACCAATTCCAGCACAAGCTATACATTTGCAGATCATCTCTTCCCCTCTTTTATTGTAATAGCTTACATATCCTGAACCTTGGCAACTCCTGCATTGTCCAGTCCATTCATAAACCACTTCCTTACAGTCCTACAATTGAGAAATTAATCAATATCCAAAGACCATTACAAAGATGTTCAATGCTTATAAAAGTGCCACACAGAAAAACAGGAAGTATATAAAGTTACCAAAAACCAAGTGTCGTCAATTGGACTTCAGTTTGACTAATATATGTCATTATTATACTGAACTCAGTACCAGCCTTTATATTCAACAGTGGCTGAATATTGCCAATTAAAATTGCATCAGAGCTACTGGTGGTTGAAGTACTTGACCTTTCAACCAACCTGCAACAATTGTTCATAAACAGAACAGTCACCAATAGAAATGCCTCTCAGCCAAATTTTGCCTTCAGACATGTTTTCCTCACCTTATCCCTTTCCTAAGATTTGACTTGTTTCAGAAAGAATACAACCATTTGAGTGAAAAATCTAAGAAAAGAAGTAATAAATTGAAACGCCATAACATGATTCAGTCAACTCTCTAAACCGATTCTCTTTTTATACTACTACTAGAGCTAGAACAATTGTCATCTTTACTCCCATTACTAAGGAAAATATTTGCTAAAAGCCAATACAAAATTCATGAATTCAGTTTCAAGTCAACTCCACAACATAGCAGTTGAATACAATGTTAAAGTTTCAAGCTTGAAGATAAGAAACCAGAAGCAGAAAATGGGACCTGAACTTGGGGATCACACTGCAGTCGCTTGTCAATTTCCTCCGGAGACACAGGAGAGGAGTCGGGATAAGTCATGGGGAGGGGAAGAGCATCACTATCATCAGCCAAGTAACTCTCTCTGTTCCTCAACCACTTCTTCACCTTCACGCTGCCACTGCCGATGCCGCTGGCAGTCTCAGTATATTCCTGTCCGATTCGGAGGCCGCCGAACACCTCGGAACTCGTTGGAAACTGGAACCACCTGGGAAAAATCGGACCGGAGGAAATGTCTCCGGTGGCACTGCAACGGAGGGAGGTGGAAGGAAGAGGAAAGAGCGGGGAGGGCTTCGGGTGGAAGAGGCTAAGGTTTGTGGATAACATTGGGGGAAGTGTGAAAACAAAAGGGGAAGAAGAAATTACTTCAGTTTTACTATTGAATTGGGTAACGATTACAGCTCCGAGCGGGGGTGGTGTACAACAGTGAGCAGTCGGAACGGTGACTGCGACGATGTTCCGGAGGAGGATGCTAGTGACCGGAACACTGTGTCGCTCGGCGTATGGACTTTCTAATGAGGATTTGGACTGGGCCCACTGAGTAAATGAGCTTATATAGGCCAAAGGCCGAAAATAAGACGTGACGGAATTTTTTTTATTTTTTCCTTTTTTATTTTTTTACTAAACATGCGTAAAGGTTGAAATTAGTTATTTAAAGACAAAGATATGTTTAATTTGTATTTTTAAGGTATAAATTAAGAGTATATTAAATATATTTTTTATTATAAATTTATATTAAAAAATAAAATTATATTTAATTTATCAACTGTTTAATTAAATTCAA